ATACTTGTTCCCTGTGCCATTCCAAATTATAACAAATAACTTCATTTCTGGACATTTATGGTTTGATTTCTTTGTATGTATGGATCACTTGGGTTGTTACAGACATCTGGTGAAAATTTCATGTCATTAGCACCTCTAGTAAAATATTTACTGAGAAAAATGTTGACGTGTTCAATACTTATTTTACTCGCTGTAACTGAGAGAAGTTTTTGTGTTGGAATTTCAGGCAGTTGTGTTTTTGGCAGCCAACAACATGGTAGCAAAAAATGTAGTTTTTAATTATAATTTCTTAGATAGTTTATCTGGTTTGTGTTGCAGGTATGCATGCAGTCTGGTGTATTATGGTCTGACTCTGGGGGCCAGTGAGACATCCGGTAGCCGTTTTGTTAATGTTGCCATGTATGGCCTGGTGGAGCTGCCTGCCTACCCTCTCTGCATTTACTTCATCAATAAAAACTGGTGAGAAACACGCAACATCCATTTGAAGTTCCTTCGTGGTTTCTCTGCTCTCACATCGAAGTTTCTGCTCCCTTCCTGAACACATTTCTGAGAAGCTGCAAAATATTTTACAGGAATTCTATCTACACCCTGGACTGATTCAGCATGCATAGCTGCATCGGTGTTAACTAAGAGGAAATTACATTTTACTTCTGCTTTCTTCTGACAAGCAAAAATAGATGCAACTCTCCATGCAGCGCTGAGCAATGCTTTCTTTATACAACAGCATTCACATCTGACTCATTTGGTCCACTTTAAGTCAATCACAGTTCAGTTCCCCCGTTGGTCCGGACCTTTTATGCAGGTGTGAATACACTCGTGAACCCTGGTGCGGATCAAACAACTGGACCGAGACTAGTCTTTAAGGTGGTCTTGGTCCACTTCCAAATGAACTCTGGTGTGGTTTGCTCCTTGTGTGAAAACAGACCGACCTCATACCGAACCAACTACAAGAAACATGAGCCTTTTTGGACTTCACAGACCACCGTGGCTAAGCAACATTAGCCCCCCAGTGTTGATTTGATTTGATTTATTTATTTAACAGGAAAAGATTACAAAAAGTCAAGCCTGACTCAGCATAATTGCTGTTTTACAGCAGGTTCCTGTTCTGCAGCACATAAAACACTCAGAAATACAGCATCTCAATCACATCATTATACACCATAGACACAAAGACAAACAAGCATACCAAATTTCA